TGGCCGGCATGACTAAACACCAAGGTGCACGGAACGCTGTTACCTTCCCACCGAAGTGGTCCCTATTTATCTACTTGCAATTTCTTGCTTTTGAACTGCTAGGTTGGCAGAAGCTGGAACTAGAGACAGGAGCTCACCCTGTCTTGCGGCACCCGGGTCTTGAACCACTGAACTACTGACCTTCCACAGCCTGCAGTTCAGCGTCTTAACCACTTGAGCCACTGCAGCTCCTGAATGATCACCTACAATGTAACAAATTACTCTTTTCTTATTCAAAGCTATTTTATTGTAAGCATTATATGACCCCCACCTCTTGAGTTTTAGTGGTTTATCTTTACTTTCTCCCATAGTTTATAGTCCCCTCTTCCCTATTTTCTTGTAGTTTTTAGAAAATTTAAAAAAAATATTTTTTTTCTTCCTGTCAGTTTTCTTGACTTTCCAACTTTCACACCCATATATAATACCATGGAATACTATGGCATGAATTAACAATCTTGGTTGCCAGCAACACATCCTTATACTTAAGAATTTTTTCTAGCTTTGGCTGCCCTTCCCTTCTTCTGATTGCTTCACTGCAGTCTCCCTTTTGGTTGAGGATGGAAGAAGAGAAAAAGAGATTGGATTTATACCCCGCCCACTACTGGATGAAGTCTCAGAGCAGTTTACCTTCCTCTTCCCACAACAGACACCCTGTGAGGTAGGTAAGGCTGAGGGAGCTCTCTCAAGAACTTCCCTTGAGAGAACAGCTCTGAAAGAACTTATGACTGACACAAGGTCACACCAGCAGCTGCATGTGGAGAAGTGGGGAATCATACCCAGTTCTCTCAGATTAGAGTCCATGCTCTTAACCACTACACCAAACTGGAGCCAAGGAATAGAAGATCCTGAATTTCAATTTCTTAATTCTCAGCCTTAAAGTTGTGTAACTCCCTAGTATTCATTACTTTTGTCTTCTTGATGTTCTACTGTACTCCTGCTCTGGCACTTTCTGCTTTAACCTTCTGCAGTAGTTGTTTCAAGTCTTCACTATTTTCTGTGACTAATGTGGTATCATCTGTGTATCTCGAATTGTTAATGTTCCTTCCACCAATTTTCACTCCACCTTCATCTAAAGGTGAACTTTCTTTACGATATGTTCTACATATAGATTGAAGAGACAGGGAGATAAAATCCTTGTCTGGCACCTTTGCTAATTGGAAACCATTCTGTTTCTCCATATTCTGTCCTAACTGTAGCTTCTTTTCCAGAGTACAGGTTGTGCATTGAAACAAACAGATATTGTGGCACACCCATTTATTTTAAAACCAACCATAGGTTTTCATGATCCACACAGTGAGAATTTTGCTGTAATGTATGAAACACAAATTGATTTTCTTCTGAAATTCTCTGGTGTGCTCCAGTATCCAAAGTCCATTTGGGATATGAACGGAGGAGATAAAAATTATGAAATGGCAGCTACTTAAGTTTCCCCTTAATTCGTGACTATGCAATAACAACAATACATTGTATGTATGTAGATCTTTCCAAGCATTTAAAGAGCTTCCCAAAAGTGCGGCAGTTCTCACCAATACACGCACTATCTCGCGATACCAAAGTCATAGAAAGCTACAGGATTTGCAGCAAGGCTGCAAATCATCTGCATATTTCCTTGAGAGTCTGGTGAACATGCAAAGGACCGAGCCGCCCAAGAGAGAACTCCCAAACTTGCGCCCCGAAACCACCCGTAAGACTTCATCCTACGCCTAGCTCTCTCTCTTCTCAGTAGCCAGGCAGCCTTCCAGTCCTCCTACTCCCCGGGAGCTCGAGCTAACTGAGGCGGGGACTTCTAGAAACCCCGCCCCGGGAGCCGGCGGCGGTTGTGGTGACAGTTCCGCCAGCAGCTCTGAGGAGGGAGGGCCTGGTTGGCCTTGCCGGAGGGTGTGTGCGAGAGGAGCCCTCGGGGCTGCCTCTCCAACCGGGAAGGGGGCCACCATGAACAAGTCGGAGATGGCGGACGAGGCGCTCTTCCTATTGCTGCACAACGAGATGGTTTCTGGGCTGTACCGCGCCGCGGAGCAAGGCGACGGGGTGAGTGAAGGGCTGAGACCCGCCGCTCCTGCGAAGGAGACCGGCGCTTCCCGGTTGAAAGCCGGGGGGAGGGAGGCTGTAGTGACTCCAGGCTGGCCTGGCTGTGAGCTGCAGACGGTGGTACCGTAAAGACACGAAGCGCGGTTGCGGCATAGAGCTCCCAGGTCCGTCCCCCCGTCCCCCCCCGGCTTTAAGGCGCTACAGGACCTTTCGCTTCAGTTCGGATGGCCCTCGGGACGGGGCGGAGGAGTCCTCCATTGGACTCAGAATCCACAAACGTTTATAAACGCAACGGATATCTCTTAAACGCTTCACCGTCACCCGCCTCACGCCGTGGAAACCGTAGTTTTCCGGTTGCCCCGTTTTTCTGGCTTTGCTGCATGAACAGGTTGGGTAGACCTCGCATTCAGTGCCCAGGCTGCCTTACTGGCAAATGAGTAGGGGTGACACAGGAGTCTCTCTCCCTCCCCTCCTCTTAAGTGGGGGATAGAGAGGCTTGTCCTGCTTAGAGTTATTCTGATCTAAGTCCATTGGTTTCAGTGAGCTGAGACTGGATAACTCTGCACCGGATTGCTCTGTTGGCGAGCTAGTTGTTAACAAGCTCCATTGATTTAACTGGGCGTCACTTTTGGTAGTTTAATCAACGGGTCTTATTTATTTGTTATCCTTTTATAAAGCCATGGATTTGTTTCATCAAGTCTGCTAGTATGCTGAGCTGTAATGCCCCATGATCGTTGCTTGTCTTTTCGTAGCAGGCTGTAACCTGAATGACAGAAACTACCTTTTTAGGGTTGTTGCTTTTTGAGAATCCTCCTCTGCCCATGGAGATGAAGATCATGACTTTTCAATAAGTAGGTTGGTAACTGTTGGTTCTAGGCCCATTGGTTCTAGAAAAGAGTAAGAAAAGAGCTTGGTTATGCTCATTGTTTTGGAAAGACCTTTACCAGAGTTCTGTTTCTTCCATGTAAAGTGTTAAAGGCAACTAGTGTTTACATCTTATTTATTTACTTCATTTATACCTGGCCTTTCTCTCCAGTGGGGACCAAAAGCAGCTTACATCATTTTCCTCTCTTCCATTTTATCCTCACAACAACCCTGTGAGGTACATTAGGCTGAGTTTATGTGACAGATCCAAGTTAGTTTGTGTGACAGGTTCAAGAGAGCCAGTTTGGTGTAGTGGTTAAGAGTGTGGACTCCAATCTGGGAGAACCGGGTTTGATTCCCCACTTCTCCACATGCAGCTGCTGGTGTGACCTTGGGTCAGTCATAAGTTCTTTCAGAGCTGTTCTCTCGAGGGCAGTTCTTGAGAGAGCTTTCTCAGCCACACTTACCTCACAGGGTTTCTGTTGTGGGGAGGGGAAGGGAAAGGGATTGTAAGCTGCTTGGAGGCCTCTTTGGCTAGTGAAGGGTGGGGTATAAATCCAATATCTTCTTCTCTTCTTCAACCAGCAATCTCCCTGGTAGAATAGGGATTTGAACCTGATTCTCCCAGATCCTAGTCAGATGTTCTACTTCCAGCTATACCTCTCAGGCCCTAACTTGCAAACCTGATGTGGCAAGAGACTATCAATGCAATCTTAAACAGAGTTACATCCTTCTAAGCCTGTTGACTTCAGTGGATTTAGGAGGGTGTGGCTCGTATAAATGAAGTAAATAAACTTTGCTTGGGATTGTGCTGCAACAGTGGGGAGACCTGGGTTCAAATGTCCATTGGGTCCTGCAGGTCACATAGTGATATTGTACCACTCACTCTCACAGTCTGACCTCAGGATTGTTTTGAGGATAACATGTATGCTACCCTCAGCTCCTTGGAGGAAGGGCATGATTGAAATGTGAGAAATAGTTAAAATTCTTTTATGTAGATTTGCTACAGGATTGCAATTTTTGTGCTTTCAGGAAAATGGACGATGCATCACAAAACTGGAAAACATGGGATTTAGAGTAGGACAAGGGTTAATAGAAAGGTGAGTAGAACCTCTTTTTGATACATCGCTTGACTTTAAATATTCCACCTGGTTCTATATATCTTTTTAGGAGTGGCATGAGGACAGCTTTTGAAAGACGCTGTGTACTTTGTATAGCAAGAAAAGCACAGGAATAGACATATCAGCTTCCAGCAGCTTGGTGTGTTATTGTGAAATAGTATTCACTTGTAGTAGAAAACTGGTGAGACAATATATTGGTGTTCGGTTGGTGGGTTGTCACTCACACAGCTGGCTTGCACCAAAGACTGGTTGCATCAGTAGCACATGGACCATTTTCTTTGCTTTACATTTTTTAAACATAGGAGAGAAACTGATATGAAACAGAACAGGTCCCATGTTGCAGTTTGGGGATAAATGTTGACCCTGTGTTTGAAGATGTTGAACATTCCTATTCTAATGACTGTTTTTAATTGTTTTTGAAATCTGCTGGAGCTCTCATTGTGAATGTCCTCCAGTTTTCCTATTCAGATTGATTTTCCCTTTTATGTGGTACCTACATCTTATTCTGAAGACTTTGAACAATGTTGGGGTGTTTTCATTTCTGAAGTTTAAAGTGCATGATTTTATTTATTAACTGAACTCTCCATAAAGTTGTGTTCATATTTAGACTCTTTGCAGTTAAACTATTTGTTTGATTGTCTAAGATGGGGTCTCCAACTTTGTTCCACCTGTGAGCATGTATTGAATTCTGAGACCAGGTAACTGTTACCACAGCAAAATGGCTGCCAGGTGGGTTGGGTTCACTCTGAGAACACTGGAATGTTCCACAGAATACTTGGAAGCATCCTCTTATGACAGAGGTAGTAGTTTCCAAAAAGATTTGTCCTGGACTTTTCTGAAGTACATCCTACTCCAGTGAAATGGATGAAAGCCAGGACTGGGCTTTTGCTTTGGGGAAAAAGCAAGTGGGCACCAGGAAACACATCAGTGGGCACCATGTTGGGGATCACTGTAGTAAGACAACAGTGAAAGAGAAAACTATTTAATATAATTGAGTTTTGTTGAACAGTTGATATCAGCACAGCTGTTATTATATTGTGTATGGGTAAAAAACAATGAAGTCGCTGTAGTAACTATAGGGTTGTATTTTTCAGGTCCCTTAGATTGTCATGGGTGAATTTAAACAATCAGTTATCTCCCCATGAAATCAGTGTGTTTAATGCTGTCTGGATTGTACCCATGCTTTTTAAGAAAGCCACATGAATTTCTTCTACACATAGGACTGGATCCAATGAATGGGATGGAAAGGAGGGGCTCAGCTTTCACCGGCTTCTTCTTCTGCATCAGACCTCCTGATCCATGGTCATGCTGTTCCTGGAGTGGTGGGTGGGGTGTTACCTGTGTCTCAGGAACAGCATTTCAGGGGGTGGTGACAAATTCATGACATGCTAATGGAAACTGCTTCTGTCAGTGAAAATGTCTGTTAAGGTCAAGCGCATATTTTGTTACCAAAACACATTATTGTATTTGACAGCTTCTTCAAGATAATTAAACAAATATCTCTACTCTGAATTCATTTCTCTTAGGTTTACCAAAGATACTGCCAGATTCAAGGATGAATTAGATATTATGAAGTTTATTTGCAAAGATTTTTGGACTACTGTATTCAAAAAGCAAATTGATAACCTCAGAACCAACCATCAGGTATTAATATTGTAAGAATATGGAATTTGTAGTGCAGCTGGACATGTTGCATATCAGTACTAAGCTTGAAAATAAAAAGCTGTGATTACATATACCTGACTGAACTTGAAACATAAATATATTGATTTTAACTCTTATCCTACACGGAGTTGACTTAAAGCAGAGACATAAAGCAGAGATAATGCTTTCAGCAAAATCATGTTACAGAACTCTTGCTGGATTAGGCCACTTCCTCCTGTAGGTGAGGAAATGAAAATAATTTTGATCCCATCAAAACACATAGAACATAGACATGTTACATACAGGTTGTTCTTTCTCACATTCTAATTTTCTATGTACTGAGAGAGTTTTTTTTTTTTTAAAGTAAACTGGGAATGTTCAAACATTGGACCCCATCTTATCTGGCAAGAACTGAACCTCATGTTTTTTCTGTCATATAGTTGGATTCTTTCTTCAGAGCAATGTATGTGGAGTTGTATTCCAGTTATCTGGATGTTTTCAAAGAAAACAAGTATTACATTGCAAGAATAGTACTTGTATCCCAGTTGTTAGACTTACAACATTGGAAAGCAAAGCAAGCATGTAAAACAGAATAGACTGAGGCTCTTACAATTCAAGGAAGAATTACATGCAGTGAAAAATGCAGTTCTAAATCAACCTGGCAACAATTTATGGATTGTTTAGAATAACTGAAGGATAAATATGAAACAAAGATAAAATGGCAGTCATTGATGGGTTAAAATCTCTTCACATAACCCATGCAAATGTTAAATTAATTATATCCGCTATCACTTTTTTTAAAAAAATGGTAGTGATTATACAGTTTTTTGCCTGAACTGTGTAAGTTTTAAAAGTAGTAATAAAATGAAGTTAAAAATTCTGAGGATGGTCTGTCTTGGATGGGTGGGGGGAGTTTAAGGTGACAGTCACATGTAGTTTGACAGAGGCATGCATGTACAGATGTGTTGGACTGGCTAGAGAAATCAGTGTACGGAATCTGTTGTGTACACTCAATTCCTCCATCCAGCTAGGGGTGTGGTCCATATGTATATGATTTCTAGCTGGATTGGGATGTTAGTATTCTTGTCTTCTGTCTGAAATGGAGATAGTTATTCATTTCTGCAGGGCATCTATGTACTCCAAGACAACAAATTTCGTCTCCTGACTCAAATGTCTGCCGGTAAACAGTATTTGGAACATGCACCTAAGGTACGTATTGCATCATAGCCTATGTAGGTTAGTAATTGTAGATTCAAAATTAGAATTCTTCACTTAGTTGAATTTTAAGTTTTATGAAGATGTTCTTTTATATGCATTGAGTGTGATTTGTTGGGGAAATTAGGAGTGCTCTGGCAAGACCTAACCATGGTGTTGGCAGAGCACTCTTAGCATCTCAAACACTGGGTGTTAAATACTTTTAGAATCCATATTATTTATTTATTTATTTATAATCAAATTTATGCTCTCCCTGCAAAGCAGGCTCAGGGTGGCTTCCAACAACAATACAACAATACAAAATAAAAGCATAAATAGTACAGAATTAAACCACAAGAATTAAAATACTGCATTACAAATGTTACAAAGTACTGGCAGCAGATAAAATAAACAAATGAGATGTTTTCAAATAAAGTGCTTCGATGTTATTCCACATAAGTGTTTAAATGTTATGTTGCTCATTCTTGAGGCAGCTGCTGATGTCAACATTACGGGCCGTGCACTAAGATGGCGGCGGCCCCTAGTTATATGCCTGGTGGAAGAGCTCCGTCTTGCAGGCCCTGCAGAACTGTGAAAGGCCCCGCAGGGCCCTGATCTCCTTTGGGAGCTTGTTCCACCAGGTAGGAACCACCACCAAGAAGGCCCCGGCCCTAGTAGCAGCTAGCCTGGCCTCCCTCGGGCCAGGGAGGGTCAACCGATTTTGAGACCCAGACTGTAGTGTTCTCTGGGGTATATATGGGGAAAGGTGGTCCCGTAGGTATTTTGGACCCCGGCCATATAGAGCTTTAAAGGTAAGAACCAGCACTTTGAAGTGGATTCGGTATACTATTGGCAGCCAGTGCAGTGTCCTCAGCACAGGCTGGATGTGCTCCCATCTAGGGAGACCCATCAACAGCCTGGCCACGGCATTCTGCACTAGTTGCAGCTTCCAGATCCACAGCAAAGGCAGCCCCATGTAGAGAGCAATACAGTAGTCTAGTCTCGAGGTAACCATTGCGTGGATCACTGTAGCCATGTCAGCAAGGCGAGCCCCCTAATCCCCACGTCGGCGAAGCAGTGGACTAGTAGCTGATGGTCAACCGTGTCAAATGCGGCCGACAGATCTAACAACAACAGCACCGCCGTTCCGCCTCGATCTAGATGCCTCCGGCGGTCGTCAGTCAGAGCGACCAGCACCATCTCCATTCCATGACCTGGGCGAAAGCCGGACTGGAAGGGATCTAACACAGAAGCGTCATCTTGGATAGGAGAGAAACTGCAGCTGTATCGCCACCGCCCTCTCAATCAACTTGCCCAAATAGGGAAAATTGGAGACCGGCCGGTAGTTAGTCAATTCGGCCGGGTCTAAAGATGGCTTTTTCAAGAGAGGGTGGACCATCGCTTCCTTGAGTACCCCAGGGAATTGCCCCTCTAAGAGCTGTTAATCAAGTAATCGGATGGTCCTGATGAAGCCCAGACTCTTCCCCTTTCTGACGAGAAGATTCTGACTGGAGTTATCCCTGTCAAGGCCCATCTAGATGTTTTAACTTCCTGGCTGGAACTCAGAAATGTAAACAATTTTTTTAGAGCAGAGTGGCCAGGTGCATTGTCAGGCTGAAGAGCCTCCTGCCATGTCTTATGGGAGAGAACCAAATAGGGAAGCCTAAGACAATTCAGGCTGCAGTACAGAACTGCCCTGTCTTGCTTATAATTCTGCCACGTGGTGGTGGGGGGACACAATAGCTGTCCTGACTTGCATGCATTTGTGTCTACAGATCTGTATATATGGGGAGGAGGGTGCCACAAGAATGGTGCCCCCCCCCTTATGTAATGAACAACAATGAATGCCTGCAGAGCGTTCTTTACAAAACTGGAAAGGGCAGAAGTGGTCTTGTTAAGATTTTTTTTAAAAAAGATATGAATAGAAATAAGCTAACAGAATTTTTTAAAATGATTTTCGTATCTGTGGGCATGCTATATGGAAATATTTTATTGCAAGTTAGGGAGATGAATATTGGAAGGGAAGTATACTTTACATAGCTTGTCCTATTTGATATAGCTGGGTTCATATCTTTGTATTAATAAGAAGACTGATATGCTTATTGGCCCTCTGTCTGCACTACTTACATGTGTGACAAGATTGTTACGTGATTCAGTCTACACTTTTGAGGCTGGCATATGTATGGATAGGAGACATGGTGTGTCCTGACCTTAATAAGCAAAAATGTAGTCCTGTTTAGCTGTTCTTTCTTTTCGTATTATTACATTTCAGTATTTGGCATTTACTTGTGGATTGATCAGAGGTGCTTTATCAAATTTGGGAATAAAGAGTATCGTGACAGCGGAAGTTTCAGCAATGCCTGCATGTAAGTTCACTTTGTATCTGAGAGAAAAATGGTACATATAGGTGTGATGTAATGTAAAGAAATTGTTCCTCAGTGCATTCTTTATATCAAGTGAGGTCAGTGATTATCAGCGGCTGTAAAACTGTTGCTCTTAAGAGTGTTACAAAGACTAACAAAAGCAATCAAGGCTGGATTAAGATCTACTGAGGCCCTGTCTAGAAGCCTTCCCCTCCCATGTAATTTGTTTGTATTTAAAGGCCCCTCATAAGACCCTTAACTGTAGCTTACTTATTTTGTGCATAAATCCAGCTTTGAAAGTGATGAATTCCAGAGAGGAAAGCAGTGCATACCATGTTTTTTGTAGATTTCCAGTTCAGCTCTACAGGGTTAAAAGGACCAGACTTTGCCCTAGGTCCCCAGACATTTCTAAACCCAATACACAGATCTCATTTGAGCCAATTTAATATGGCTATAGTTTTTGGAATGCTGGAGGGGCTGCTGGGGTTTCTTTGCCCTCTCACAAATCAGTTAGAGACTTTATGCACTGCATTATTATCAGATGCTGTATTTTCCATTGTAATTGCCTGAAACCTGAAGCCTCTCTCGGGTTGCTATGCAGAGAAAGGCAATGGCAGACCACTTCTGCTTATCTTTTGCATTGAAAGCCCCATGGTTTGCTTATTGCAACTTGAAAGCATGCTATTATTATTATACTCTATTTTTGTCCCTCTGGGTACCCAAAGGACTTTACATTTTCCCACCTCCATTTTATCTTTACAGCAATCCTGTAAGGTAGTTTCGGCTGAAAGTGAGTGACAGGTTGTCACCCATTAAGTTTCCATTGCAGTGTGGAAATTTGAACATGAATTTCTGACATTCTAATCACCAGCTATGCAGTTGTAAGCAGAATTATACCCTTTCAAGTCCATTGACTTCAGTAGACCTAGAAGGGTATAACTCTGCTTAAGGTTGGCAGAAGGTGTAACCAACTCAGATTTGTTTAAATATGGCTGGATGCATTGTACAAGAGAATAGTATAGACTCAGGCAACTGCGTTTTTTGAACTAGGTTAATAGTTGCTTCAGCTAAGTAAGGTAGATACTTTATACATTCCTTCTCTTTTGTTTTTTGACAGGTAAATTTCAGGTGATGATACAGAAGATTTAGAAAATGTATAGAAGAAAACACCTGCCCTGTAATATCTTGAAATTGTATATTTTATTTATAATTGCAGTTTAATGCAAATGTCCTGTGTCTATGTGAAACGTTTTGCCAAACATAACATGATAGTTATCAGATGACTGTTGCAGTTTTTTAGTAATGTCCCATTTATGCATGTTTCTGGGAAATACAAGTATGTCAATCGGATCCCCGATTAAATACAAAGTTTGACTATCTGATTTGTTGGTTTGGTCTAGCAATGCAGAATTTATTCTGAGTGGCCTTATAAACACACAAAATCTCTGAGCTAACAGCTAACCACATTCTAAGGTTCTATGAAGTTGCTGATGTTCTTTTTTAATGTTATGGTATGCACCCAAGTTTCTATGTATACAATGAGATAGCCTGGCAACAGTCTTTTTCAGGATGTGGGAAGATAATTGAGGGCAATCATCAACACCCCCTCCCCCAAGTGGATTCTTTGGTGAGAGTCCTGCTTTATTCATACAGAATTTTCAGAAGAACCATGTATATTCTATGTTTGTATGTACTGGAATTTTCCCAGGCCTTAAAAGCCAGGGTAGAATTCTTAATGTGACTTTTCTGTAAAAATGAATGGCACTGCAGTCTTCTGCCTTTAGCAATGCACAACAGATTATATATAGATAACCCCCAGTTATGTTGTAAATTGACTAATATATTTTGTCTTGAAAAGCTAGAGCAGGCTGTATATACTGAAATATCATACTAAGTGTTTATAAACCTTCTGGCCTGATCTGAAATGGGGCAAAATATCCCCTTAAATGGTCTGTGAATGCATTGGTTGCAATGCATTGGTAAGGCTATGCATTGGTTGCAAATGTATGGGATGTCCCAAGCTACATTATAAATAAACTTTCATGGATAAGGGCTCACTTCAGATGCAACGTGGGATCCGCTTATTGCATCTGAAGAAGTGGACTCTAGTTCTTTGTGGGTTTTTAGAGGCTACAATATTCTCTAGTTTACTTTTGCTGCTGGAGACTAACACAGCTCTCTCAAATCAGATTATAAGAACATAAGCCAATGTTGGATCAGGCCAATGGCCCATCCAGTCCAACACTCTGTATCACACAGTGGCCAAAACTGCCATCAGGAGGTCCATAAGTGGGGCCGGGACACTAGAAGCCCGTCCACTGTTGCCCCCCCCCCCAGCCCCCAGGAAACAAGTGAACCCTTCTGTTTGAACCCAACTGCTCAGCAATTTCATTGAGTGCCCACGAGTTCTTGTATTGTGAGAAAGGGAGAAAAGTAGTTTTCTCTACGTGCACTATCCCATGCATAATCTGGTAAACCTCAATCATGTCACCCCTTATTATTTCTCCAAGCTAAAGAGCCCCAAGCACTTTAACCTTTCTTCATAGGGAAAGTGTTCCAACTCTTTTATCATTCAAGTTGCCCTTTTCTGCACTTTTTCCAATGCTATAATGTCCTTTTTGAGGTGTGGTGACCAGAACTGTACACAGTATTCCAAATGAGGTTGCACCATTGATTTATACAGGGGCATTATGATACTGGCTGTTTTGTTTTCAATTCCCTTCCTAATAATCTCCAGCATAGCGTTGGTCTTTTTTTTTTGCAGTCGCACACTGTCTCGACATTTTCAGTGAGTTATCTACTACAACTCCCAAGATCTCTCTCTTGGTCAGTCTTCGCCAGTTCAGACCCCATCAACGTGTATTTGTAGTTAGTATTTTTGGCCACAGTGTGCATCACTTTGCACTTGTCCACATTGAACCCCATTTGCCACGTTGATGCCCACTCACCCAACCTCAGCAGGTCCCTTTGGAGTGCCTCACAATCCTCCCTGGTTTTCACCACCCTGAACAACTTTGTGTCATCCGCAAATTTAGCCACTTCACTGCTTACTCCCAATTCCAAATCAATTCAATTACCTTTACAGGCATTGACATTAAAAAGAGTAATACACAAAAGTTAAGGTAAAGAACGGATACTAATCAAAGAGGGAAAAATGTTCTAAGATAGTCTAAAATCAATATAAAATAGTCTCAATTTCATATCTCCTGAAAACAAGTTTTGTATTACAATATTGTACTATGAATAAAAAAGAGCAGTCTGCAAGAGCTCTGCCACAGAAATGGTTATATTTTCATCATCGCTGTTTAGCAAGTAGAGCAATTTGTGTGAGTCAAGAAGCTCTCTGATACCACCAAGTAATGACGATAAAATGCGCTGTCGAATATTGGCATAGTAATGTCATTCCAATAACTTGTGAGACATCGTTTCAACAGACCCACTTGCACAGGGGCATAGTCTGTTTAAAAAGGGATACTATTAAACCTCCCAGTTAAGATCGCTGAGGGGAGAGCACTGAACCTGGCAAGTGAAAAGGTTCTATGTAACACTGGAGTCTGAAGTTGGTGAAAATAGCTAGTAGGATGACCCACAGTGTACAATATCCCATGACAGAGGGGAGCATTGGACCCAGTACTGATCCCTGTGGTATCCCACTGCTCACCCTCCACTGAGAAAATTGCCCATTTATACTCACTCTCTGTTTCCTATTAATTAGTCAGTTTTTGATCCACAAGAGCACTTGTCCTCTTATCCCATGACTATTGAGTTTACTTAGGAGCCTTTGATGAGGAATTTTATCAAAAGCTTTCTGGAAGTCAAGGTAAACAACATCAATTGGGTCCCCCTTGTCCACATGTTTGTTCACCCCCTTAAAGAACACTAACAGGTTAGTGAGACAAGATCTTCCCTTACAGAACCCATGCTGAGTCTGCCTCAATAGTTTTTGTTCATCAATGTGCTTACTAATTCTTTCCTTAATAAGTTTCCACCAATTTACTCAGTATCGACGTCAAACTGACTGGCCTGTAATTTCCTGGAGGATGTATGCCATCTGGGCCTGGTGATTTATCAGTTTTTAAGTTGTCTATCAGTCGTAGGACCTCCTCTCTCATCACCTCAATCTGACTCAGGTCTCTCAACACCTCTTCCGAAATCAGTGGTTCTGGAGTGGGCAAGTACTTCTCATCTTCCACAGTGAAGACAGAGGCAAAAAATGCATTCAGCTTCTCAGCCATTTTCCTATCCTTCAGTACTTCTTTTACCCCTGGGTCATCCAAGGGACTAAAGTGGTTAATCTGTTTAACTATAGCAACATTAATTAGGGAGGTGGGGGAGGGTTAGACATTTAGTCAGTTGGAAACAAACCTGAGTACACATCATGAACTTTGGAAGATCTGTTATCTGACTAGAATTTATGTGGGTTGACTAGCTCATGTTATGAACTATTTTTAGCCATTTTAACAGCATGGGCCAGTACAAAGACTTAACAGACCTCAAAATGCTCAGATTTATAATTCAAGACAATTAAAAAAACCTTTAATGTAAAACTGAAAAAGGACCGATACAACTTTACATTAACTGATGGGGGAAGGGGAAAATCTGTACAGATCTGATTTTTAAAAACCTGCTGGGTTTTTAAAACAAGTTCAACAGTCTTGCTCCATGGTTTGATTAGGATGAGCTTGCAGTTTGGATACAGGTCTCACAGCAGTTTGCCGGCAAAGAAGTTGACAAAGTGTTCAGGCGCCCTGCTGTTGACATCTTTCAAGTTGAGTTGACCACAACTGTTGCTAAAATCACTTTGAATTACTGTTCTTACAATCCAGCAAGGTCATACTGGAAGGTAGGGCACAGCTGCAGTTCTTCACCCTTAAGTCATATAGGAGCTGACTGAGTATATTGGCATGGCATTCCCTCACAGTTATTATGATAGGCCATGCTTCTTTGCTCTCCAAACTTTATCAAGCTGGCTCATCGGCCAGATCATGCTGGTCAAAGTACCTGGAGGGGAGAATAAAAGTCATGAAAATAGAAAGAATAGGAAAAAATACCCCTTAAATCTAAGACTTGAATATGCTGGAGATGTAACAAATATCTACTGTCAACTGAACAATGGTGTATTAAGGAAGGGACAAAACTACAATATATTTGATTGTCTTCAATAAAAACAGCCAGGGAAGTTCAGGACTAGACAGAAGGCCAGAAAGCTTGAGCAGAAGCGAAGCATACAGGTGGTTTTACTAGACACAGCATTAAAACAACAAAATACCTTGCTTTGGCAATATAAGAGTCTCTAGCGTGTGAAAGAGAAAAGTGGTGAATTCTATAGTAATTAAATTCCATGGTGAGATTCTCTTGCCCAATTTACAGCACACTCTTGCTCAGGGATCAAAATACATGATCTCTAATGCAAGAGGAAGACTGCTCAAGGATTCTATAGTGTTGCTGCTGCTGCTGCTTATTGGTGCATGATGCTTATCATAACCTTCCCAAAATCATCCATGTTACTTTGGATCACAGCCTAATAATGACTGGATTCTGTTTCTTAAAACTTTAGAAAGTAATTGAACAAGCAGTCAAATCAAAGGCCCAAGCCAGTTCTGCTAGACAAGTTACTGAGGAAAACAGCGAGTCTGAACAGCACATGCAGTTTCTTAAAGAGCCAACTCAATAGATAAGATATCTGTCATACCTGCCAACTAAACAAATTAACAAGTTCAGAGCAGATACTCTTTCTTCATTCTTGTTCTCCTACAACAGAGTAAAGCAGAATTAATGCAGCATACATCTGAAGTTTAGGGAATGTCAACATTCACAATTCTGAACAAATCTGGCAAATGTCCAAAACCCCAAAGATAAGCTAGTAAACAGCGGCCACTTAAATATGACCGTCAGTATTCACTGGTGCATAAAATGGTGAAATACCAGTTTTTGGATATTCAGAAAACTGAACCTGATACATTTAACATTCTGTGAACGTCAATCACAGATCACAGTGAGTACTTGGAATGCTTTTTGTTAGGTTCTGAACTGTCACTTTCAGATGGTATAATGGAAAACAAACCAGGAACCAGATAACTGAATGGAATGACACGCACACGCAAGAGAATATTTTCTAAATAATTTTTATTCAATAATTTGTAGAGTCAGCTTACCTCCAAAACTCTCACTTCAGAGCATCTTCTGGCCAATTGCCGAATCAGGGAGTGAGCCTCTGGTAACAATGGTTTTTCAAGACAGGCCAGCAAAGCATAAAGCCATCTGCCCTACAGGAATTTAATGGAAGGTGCATCCTGAAAGTAATGTTTCACTACTGGTACTTCATCCAAGCAAAGTGGGGGAAAGCCATTTTTAACATATGCCCATAAATGTCCTGATCCCAGGTCTACAGGTTAACCAGCCTGAATATAAATGATTGTTTCTTAAGTCCATGTCAAACAGACATGCACAAGATTGTGTACTGGTTAAAATACTGGACTGGGGTCTGGGAGAGCTAAATTCAGATCCCCACTCTGCCATGGAAGCTTGCTGGGTGACCTTCAGCCAGTCACTGAGCCTAAACTATCTCACAGGGTTGTCGTGAAGATAAAATGGAGGGGAGGGGGAACAATGCTGTAAGCTTTTTTCGGTCCCCATTGGGGAGAAAAGCAAGGTATAAATATTTTAAAAATAAGTCTAATTTAGCCTGTAACATGCACCTATCCAGGCAAGCTGGGTTGTGCACAAGGTTTTGAACAGCAGACATAGAGCATGCAGGTTCTGTCTTTGTAACTGCTGTGTTAATACTAAAAGATTTAGGTTTCATTTTTGGAGTCTACAGTATCTACTTAGGTTTCTATAAGTTCAGGCAATCATTCTATCTGTAGAGAAGGACCATCCCTGGGATGCAGAAAACTGAGATTCAGAAAAGCGTATTGTTGAGAAGGCCATATAATAGGGGCATAGTTCTACTAATGGCTAAGCAGGCATTTCACTAAAAGAGACCCTGGACTGACTGAATGTGCATCTGGGCCCCACGCTACGGTTGGAAGGCCTGTGGTACAGTAATCTTGCTGATGCTCAACTGGTCTGGGTAGGGATGTAGTAACAAAACCAGTCATTAAATATTTCTGTTTTTCCTTCTGCTAAGCTTCAAGAGGGACAGTTTTCTTGTCTGCTTTTCAAAATGAACAGAAGAAATAAAAGTTACCAGTTCTGAAGTAAATTCCTTCTCTGCAAACCAGTTTATTAGATATTCCAAGACACTGGTTACTGTTGCCTTTTAAGAAGGAAGAGAAGCAGCTATGAAAAACAACCCTCTATATGGTGCCTCCTTATAGTCCTTGCATTGCATTACCAAACAAGAAGTACACTTGCACCTGATGTTTCATGAAACATTAGATATAATCCAGAAACCAGATGTTTAAATCAATGGCAACCATGGCTTAAGTTCACATGCAAAGCAACTATGTGATATCAATGCAGCTTCATATTTTGTGATGCTATGAGGTAGCAGCTGGCACAGTGTGCCCTAAACATTTTTTCCACTGTTCCACAAATAGGAGGATCAGACTATAAGTGACAAATATTCTTATATGCATACAAATATAGAGAGCATTTGGGTTAAATCTGAGGCCCATGCTATGGTTCGAAGGCCTGTGGGTCCTGTGGCTGGGGGAGAGCATCTGGGTCGGGATATAGGCTGCCTGATCTTGATGGAGCGCTGCTGACATCGGCACAATCCATCAGGAGTTTGGGAGTGATCTTGGACTCTTCCTTGAATATGAAGGTCCAGGTCACACATATTGCCAGATTGATATTTTTTCATCTATGCCAGGCTTGGCAATTGGCCCCCTTCCTGTCACACCCCAACCTGGTCACAGTAATCCATGCAAAGGTCACCTCCAGACTAGATTACTGTAATTCACTTTACACTGGCCTGCCCTTGAAACTGACCCGGAAGCACCAACTGATTCAGAATGTGGCGGCGCAAGTCCTGATGGGAACATCACGGACGGCACATATCCATCCGGTGCTGCACCAGCTACACTGGCTCCCAGTTGAATACCAAGTCAAGTTCAAGGTTTTGGTATTGACTTATAAGGCCTTGAGTGGTCAGGGACCAATGTACCTAGGGACCGTCTCCTCCGTTATGTCCCTGGGAGAGTGTTACGCTCCTCAGATAACAACTTGCTGCCGGTCCCTGGCCCTAAAGATATCCAGCTGTCCTTCACCAGGGCTTTTTTGGTCCTGGCCCCACCTGCTGCTATTCTGCCAAATACCACCAGGGCCCTGTGGGACCTTATGCAATTCTGCAGGCCCTGTAAGGCAAAGATGTTCCACCAGGCTTTTGGTTGAGGACAGCAATGGTTTCTTTCTTGGCTGGCACACTTTCTCATTCCTCCTGCTGTTTATCTTCCCCCCTGCCTGCAAAGTAGCCGGCAGTCTGAAATCGGATTAATCAGTATTTGCCATCTCTTTTCTTCGGATATGTGTTATTAATATTTTAACGGTTTTATCTGGTTGTCTTTTATGGATACCGTACATGACCCAGAGCCTGGCAAAAGCAGGGATTGGGCAATAAATAAATAAACAAATAAATTATAATTACACTGTGGGTCCAGGTACAGTATAACTTTCAGCAAGCTATCTGTATGATGCTGTTTCATTTGGTAAGAACCATCACGCATTCACTGAACACACAAGGAGGGAGAGTGAGCCTGCTGGCCCCACCCCCTGCCTCCATGCGACTTCCTGATCATCCGCAGGGGCAACTGCACCAAGGAAGTGGCTGCGTGAACTCTCCTTCCCCAATGATCAGCCTGGAGAGAGAGTTTGAGCAGCTGACTTGTCTGTCATATGGAGGCAGGGCCAGTGTGTTCAGGGCTCATGGGGTGCTGTCACATGCACCAGGTTACCCTTATGGAAGGAAGTATAAATAACTAACAGCACATCTACAAAAAACTCACCACCAACCCCACTCAAGAATGACAGTAGTAAGAGATACCTGATTCATTCTGCTAACAATGCTCAGCAATGGAGGAAAGCCAACCTGGGGTGGGGAAAGCCATCAGAATACGTAAAAAACTAAAGTATTTATAGGAAATATAAAGTAATTGCAAATGTACAGGTTATCAACTTTTATCTTTGTGCTTTCTACCCACCTGTATGTAATCAATTCCTTGATTTTCATCACTGTATACTTTAACACCTGTATTTAAATACAACGTTTCACCCAGACAAAACCTTTTCCAGCCTTCTTCGTCATCTGATGTGGGCTGAGGAAACCAAGCAAACAAGATTATTTTCTCTGTTTTAATAAAACAAAAATATTGTGCCTCCCTAAGATTACAGAGTGCACTCAAACACAAATGCTAATCCTACACTTTTAGTTAATAACAAGGCACTGCCCTGTTGTCTATCTCAACATCACTCAATGAGAAGAGAAAAAGAAAGGTGACCCAAAAGGCTGTAGTCCTCAGACAGCTTGCTCTGCAGTATTCTGGAGCAAATGATCCGCCAATCAGGATTACAATGTAAATTTTACTCACCATCGTAACATTACTGTCCAAATGCTGGGATTTCCAGTGGTCCCTGTGTTTGTACACACTCTGGAAAATTGAAAAAGTAAAATCTCATATGAACTTTTTACTACAGCTGCTGTGTTTAGTCCAGTTATTCAGATCAAGTGATTAAAAGCCTTCTGACCAACTGAAAAGTTGCCCCCATTTAATCAAGCAGATATTTGAAAATCTGATTTTTTAAAAATACTGATACTTATATAAGTTGCAGATGGCAAACAACAAATGAGAAAAGGCATTCCCTTCACTGTCATACACAAAGACTGTTTGTAATAGATTAGGTTGTAATAGATTACCTAAAAACAAAATCAAGCCTTTCCCCCCCAGAACTGTTTATACTCAGATGCAAATTTATGAAGATTTAATGAATTACCTAACTTCATCAACATCATGTGTAACGCAACAACGCAGATTTCCTCCCTCAAGTGATGGGTGTAGGCCTGCATCCTATACTTTCTTTGGATTTGCAGGCCTCTTTGACCACTTCTGAGGCAGTGCTTTATTGCAGGGTGCACTTCCACTCATGCGACACTGTCTTTTAAGGAGCCAAGAAGTGGCTAGCGCAAGAAGAATGTACTCTGCAGTGGAAGACTGCCTCTGCAGATGATGAGGGCCCTGTTGTCACATAATTTTACTAGTTTTGCAATATTAAGCAAAAATAGAAATGAATGTGCCCAAAGCCTTATTTGCATAAAATCTTCAAGGGAAAAAAAACAAAATGATGAGTGACAGACATAAGTGCTAATTTTTAAATAATTTTTCAGAGGACAAAAGTTTAGGCCACAATAGGACTCTTTCCATTAAAAGAAGTCTCTGAAAAATTAGTCTAACTGAGAATGTAATGCCTTTTGGATCTGGCACTGCAGTAAACTCTCCTGAAAATGGGTACTATGCGATCAGGACCTTCCCAAGTAAGAACTGCTGCAAGCCTGGACAAGAAAAAACACCATATAAGATTGCTGGATTTCTGTGCACGTGCAGTAGTCACCTGGCGAATGGCTGAAAAGTGAGCCACTTGTTGTTGTTGCCATTTCAGAGTTGGTGAGTATCCTTCAGGGGCAGGGAGGCATCCTGAGAGCTACAAAAAGAAAGGGAAGAACTATTAATGCTAGACTGACAATCAATGTTCCCTCTAAGCTATGCAGTCGTGTGAGCAAAAATTCTACTTTGTGAGCGAGTGATGTGGCTACTGCATATATTAGTTTGCTCTGGAGCCATCCTTCCTGAACTAAGACAAAAAACTGTGAGCCGGAGGCTAAAAAACTGTGAGCTAGCTCACACTAACTCAGCTTAGAGGGAACAATGCTGACAATATCAGTTCTAAATTCTTGTGTTTTTGGGTTTGTTTTGTTGTTGTTGCTTTTTTTGCCATCAAATCAAGCTGTCTTCTGGCAACCCCTAGTGGGGCTTGAAGGCAAGGGATGTTAAGGTGGCTTGCCATCACCTGCCTCTGCGTATTCCTTGGAGGTCTCCCATACTAGCCAGCTTAGCTTCTGAGATCGGTCAAGACCTGAATTCTTGACCCATGCATTAAAGGTATTTACATTTTCTCTCCTCATTACAATCCTGTAGGTAAGGTAGGCTGAGAGAGAGATTGCTGTATGGCCACACAGAGAGTTCATTCACTATAGAAAAGATCAGGGAAAACTCAAATCATATTGAAGTAGATGAAACACTCAAGAAGCCCACAACACTGTCTTCTACCTTTGTAGCTCACTTTCTGTATGATGGTATGCCACGCCTTAGACAGTTTGTTATGCTGACTGTTGCACTGTTTTCCAGTCCCGTAATTCTACTTTTACTGCATTGTTTATTGGAGGCGTTTTGTTGTCTGACTGAATTGTTTTTATATGTTGTAATCTACCTTGAGACTCAGCGAAAAAGGCACACTATAAATGAAGTAAATAACCCATAGCAACCTAAAGTTTAATGTTGGCAAATTGCAACCAACAGGGGTAGCCTCTAGTGTACTCTGCCACGAGTCATGGGCAGAGGCAGAGCGGTACCTCCTTCATAGTGGTGGCAGGCTGTATCACATGCCAAGACATGGATTAGAGGAAAAAGATTGCTTCCAAAACACACCACCTTGTCTGGCACTCCTACCCTCTAAAACTAGTTTGCCATGTGTTGCATTTATTTGCCTCTGTGGAGCAAGAAATAATAAAGCCTGGTCTTGCTGGCTACAAATAACTAGCTAAAATCTGTGGAACCCTGGCCCAGACAACATTAAGTTAAAATCACTCATCAAGATTCAGAGAGCGGAGAGAAGCAGTGACTGTAATGTACAACAAATGAAAACTGATTAGTTGCTAGAACCCTGGAGACAGTGAAAATATTGATCCAGATATTACAACTGCTTGTACTACATGGGTCCTGTCATGGCTCAGGTGGGGTGTCACCTGATGCTGCCACCACTCTGGTTCCAGGCTCCTCTGAGAAGGCCCAGAGCACCCTCCCAGGCCTTTAGACCTCCCATTTGGCCGAATAATAGGCGTGAGGACCAAGCAGAGTGAACAATGAAAATAATTTATTTTATAGGAGGTCAAACAAACAAGGTGCAGAATAATAACAGTAAGTGGGTGAAAAGAAATCAAATGCCCTAACGCGTCTAAAAATATACTGTCCCTAGCTCACTATCGTGGCCTTAGACTACTCACCCTTCCCTCAGGATGAGGGTTTCTTCCCCACAGCAGCCTCAGTCCCTTCTGGCTCTGTTCCCTGGGAAGAAGAACAGCTTTCCCTCTTGTACCAGTTCCTATATTCCCCAGCCCTCTTCTTCCCTATTGGTCAAAATCGGCACCAAAACTTCCCAAGGCCTTCTGGGGTTTGTAGGCCCAGCCTCCCTTACTGCTAGCCAGGCTCCCTGGGCCTAGTAGGCCTCTGGTGGCACAGGCCAGATCATGACAGGTCTGTTTTGCTAAAACCTTTTAAGACTGGCCTGCACCACAGCAATTCCAAGTTTTGTTCTGGAAGACTAGACACCATCTACATGAACTCTGCAAGAAGCTTTGTTATTCCCTTCTTTTTCCTTCTCCCTTTCTTTCTTTCCCTCCTTTTATCCTTCTTTCTTTCCCTCCTTCTTTCCCCTTTTCCTTCTCTGTTTCCCTTTCTCCTTCCTTCTCTCTCTCCCTTTTTTCCTTCTTTCTTTCCCTTTCCCTCCTTTTTTCCTTCCTTCTTTCCCTCCTACTTTCCTTCTCTCTCTCTTTCCTTCCTTTTTTCCTTCTTTCCCTCCTTTCCTTCTCTCCCTATTTGATTCTCCTTCTTTCTTCCCCTACTCCTTCTTCTTTCCTTCTTCCCCTCCTTCTCTCTTTCTTTCTTCCCTCCTTCTTTCCTATAATAGGGTAAAAATTCTTCTATGATTGCTGATATCTAAATATTTGATGTAAGGTCTCACAGCTATCTTGTTAAGTGAACTTACATCAAATACAGGGCTCCTAATCCTGCTCACGTCCATATATTGGTAATCCTCCATCCTGATTGTACAAGGTGTTTTATTGGTAATCCATAAACACCTTGTACAATCAGGATGGAGGGTAGTCTTGCTGAACACTCAGCATGTTACAGCCACAGTCCACTCTTAAATGAACAAGAGAACACCGTGGTATAGGGGCTAGAATGTTAGACTAAGATGGGTCAGGGGAAAGGATTCAAATCTCTGCTCAGTTGTGAAGCTCACTATATGACTTCAGACCAGCCACCGCTGTTGTGAAACCATAACAAGGAGATTCTCAACGTTTACTGCTGCCCTGAGGTCCTTGGACCATGCAAAACAAATTTTGTCACCACCTTTCCCCAGAACTTACTGAAATATTCACTGTCTGTTTCTTTTTCAGTTTTCTTGGGTCAATCTGGGCCACAACAACATCGGGGCATTTTGCAGCTTCAATCCTACAAAACAAGAAAACAAGTGTCCCAATTTTGTTTTTAATGTCTTCCAGTTTCTGGAGATGCACAGAAATTATCCAGGAATTCTTACATTTTTTTCACATCTAAAAAGATTTTTCTATATGACTAACAATACAACAATGATTTAAGGAAGTTACCACAATCTCCCCTACTTTTCTGTCCCAGCTGAGCTCCTGCAGGGCCTCTCTATTGCCTTCTTCTCTTTCATATAATCTGGATTTTTTTATAGGACCCATGAGATCTTCATAACAAGTGTCAATGCTGACCACTTAAAACCAAATTATATTTTTATACACCAACATTCCACAAAAATTTCTTGTTTGCTGTACTGAAGCATGCAGTCTCACAGCTGAAACACAACTGTCTTCCTTGGAACCCTAATCTCTCACCTGCTGTCTCCCCAGTTCTGAGTAGTTGCCAACTTTTTTACTGACCCAGCTCTTTTTAAAATACCAACATGGCCCACAGAAACGAAGTAGCTAAAACTTTCTCCACATTACGTTCATGCACAAAAAAACTTTACATGAAGATGGCAACTCTGCCCCGACAGTACTCTCTCATAATTATTTCTAAACTTGCGCCAATCGATATATGGCTTGAATAAAATGGAAGTTTTGGATTCATAGTCCCATAGCCGAAGTTTTGAAGGCAACTGAGCCTTTCTTATAAAATCTTTGCAATCCAGCATTTTTTGGTGGTTTAAGTATTTCTTTTCGTTCTTTTTTGCTTTCTTTCTGAAGCAGCTTTATTTTTAGGCTGTTTTCTGTCTAGTGGCAGAAAAGGTTGTGACAGAGATTATAGAATCAAAATATTTCATTTCAGACTATAATTTGGCATATTTGATGAAGTGTAAAGGTAAAGGTTCCCTTGCTCGAAAGCCAGTCGAGTCCGACTCTAGGGTTGTGGTGCTCATCTCCGTTTCCAAGCCGAAGAGCCGCTGTCTGAAGACGTTTCCGTGGTCATGTGGCCGGCATGACTAAACACCAAGGCGTACGGAACGCTGTTACCTTCCCACCGAAGCGGTACCGATTTATCTACTTGCAATTTCTTGCTTTCGAACTGCTAGGTTGGCAGGAGCTGGAACTAGAGATGGGAGCTCACTCCATCATGCGGCACACTAGGGTCTCGAACTGCTGAACTACAGCCTGCAGTTCAGCGTCTTAACCACTTGAGCCACCGCAGATGAAGTGTGCAAACCAATTAAAGCTTATAGCCAGAATTAAAACATTATTGGTATTAAAGCTGCCACTGGACTCAAACTTTGTTCTATAATTTTTATTGCAATTCACTGTATAAAAGTAGAATAAAGTGTTCCTTATTTAATCCACATGTATTCATATTCTGAAACTCTCTTGGGACAATAGCCTGCCTTGCCAAAACACAGGACCCGTGTGGCACCTGGCAGGCCCCAAGGTTTGTGGGCCATATTCAGCTTGTGAATGGGTCACAAATTATTCTGGCCTCTGCGTGGCCAAAGTGCGGCTTTTGGAAGCCACACCAAAATAGACACACAGCAGCGGGATCACACGGATTCCCTGAGCCGCGGCGCCGTTGCTCCCCGGCATGATCAGATGCCGGGGAGGAAGCCACGGTCGGGAGACCGAGGCAGCTGGCTGCGCATGCATTTGCATGCACAGTTCGGCCAGGAGCCGGGATGCGCCGGCGATCCCACGGCCACGCTTGCCGCGGCCATTCAGGTAAGACCACCTCTGTCGGTGGGGGTTTTTTGCTGCGGGGGTTTCTGGGGTTAGGGACTGATCGGGGACGGGTGCGCACCACTTCCCAGATGTTGTGGTGAGATCGCGCCCATTTGCTGCAGCCCCGATCCGTCCCTCACCCGGGCCAAAACCCTCCGTGTGACTGGGACCGTAGTTGATCAAATGGGTGCCTTCTAACACCGAGTGAAACCCAGAAAAAAGTGCATCTGCACTGCATTAATTTCAATTACTCTTGTGTAGATTTTACCCCCCCATTTATTCAATGATGCGATACTACTACCAACCAGCTCCAGACAAGCAATGTTACAGAAGGAGCATAGGCAGAATCAGACTATTAATGAAAATAAGCGTAGGCACCTTTATCCAACAAGCCTTGAAAATATACCGCATACCTACAGGAAGCAAGTAGATTCTTCATTAAGATCATATAATATAAACAACCCCATTCGGTACTAGTTGCCAAATCTAGGCAGAACGTAACGCGCTTGTTTATAGAGGAAAACGCGTGTCTAGTTGAACCTTATGGAAACTGTGAGCGCACTAGAAGAGGCAACCCGGCCGATCCAGTTATCTTAATACCGACTGAGTGACGGCAAGCATTTCTATTCCTCCCTACCACCTTACGGAAGGGACGGCTACAAGCCCATCTCCAAAAGGAGGGCCGGATCAATCCACTCACCAGGGGCAGCCCCACTCCCAACCCTGCTCTTTCTCTTCTCTCCACTGCGGCGGGCGCAGACCCTCGATCAGCTCACTTACTGAACCCGCTTTAAATACTCTTGGGGTGTTCTGGGGGGCACACTAGGATCGAAATCCTCCGCGATGTCACAATCCTCCACAGGCAAAAGCCGGGGCATCAATTCCTCGACCGACGACTCCATGTCACTCCCCCTCCACCAGAACAGCGCTCTTCGACAGAGAATGCACAACGCATGTGCAAAAAGAGCGAAGACGCCCATGACGGCACAGCCGCGACCGAAATGCAAAATCAACGCGCCACTCCCCAAGCCCTGGGGACCCCGGGGGGGGGGGAGGGGGGAGAGGAGATAGCCTCGCTGTTTGAGAGGGTTTTTTAAAATGAGGTTTCCTCGCAAACCAGTGATCTGTTGCATGCGCGTTGATTTGCTACTCTCCAGTTTCTTGAACTTTTGTGTGGTTTGATGAAATACGGCCTGAATTCTAGCTCACTCTTCTGTCGTTGTAAACAAAATGGCAATTTTAGATTCACAAGTGAAGCAGTGTTCCCTTTAAACTGAGTGTGAGCTAGTTCAGTTTTTTTAGCCTCCGGCTCACACATTTTTGCCTTAGCTCAGGAAGGATGGCTCCAGAGCAAATTAATTTATGCAGCCAGCAGCCAAATCGCTCGCCCACAACTTGAATGCCAGTCGCTCACAAAGTAGAATTTTTGCTCACAAGACTCCACAGCTTAGAGGGAGCATTGTTCACAAGCCCTGAGCAGAAGTTTTGAATTTGAAGACAAAAGTAGCTCACATTAGCATCCTTCTCTTTTGTCCTCACTTCTCTGCAGTTCACAGAAACACAATTAGAACAGGAACCTTAGTTGAGTATCAAAGGCAAATTTTCTCTTAATTACCTTCTGAATGCCCGTGATTCTGTACCACTGACTGAGCCATGGCCCCTCTCCCAGATGCTTAACATTTGTACAAAGAAAGCTAGTGGACAGTAGATGTTGATTGTGTGCATGTCATAATCCTTACTAAAAGTCTGAATATTTTTACATTTACAAAATGAAAACAAGGGACTTCCAAACAACTTCGGGATGCTAGCTTCCAGGTTGCAGGATGCTCATCTCCAGACTACAGAGATCAGTTCCTCTGGAGAAAAGGGATGCTTATTGCTTCAGAGGATGGACTCTGTGGCATTGTACCCTACTGAGGTCCCTGTCCTTCCCAGGCTCCACCCCCAAATCTCCAGGAGTTTCTCTACCTGGATCTAGCAACCCTACCCTCCCATCCTCTGCCAGTGACCAGGGGGTACCTGGCAACCCTAACAACACTTCCCAAAATGAAAATTTGGGTATAGATATACTTAGGTGGGTGACAGTGTTAGTCTGCAGTAGCAGAACACAATTCAATTCCAGTAGCACCTCAAAGAACAAAATATTCCAGCACCTTAAGCTTTTGGGAGTCAAAACTCACTTCTTGCCCCTCCATTTTATTTGGACTATGTAAGGAATTTACTCAACTACTTTAGGGTACAAATATATTAGATGAACATTTCTTTCTTCAAATCTGAGTCTTAAATAGTCTTACTATTTTTACAAAGATCCTGCCTCAAAAAAACACAAATGTGTTCACTTTAATTTTCTTCACTTTGTCAATGAAAGGCAAAACAGTTTTGTAAAGATTGTTTATTCCAGTCTACTTTAGAAATGTGTGTACCATCCCTACACATTTTATTAAAAAACTTTATAAAAATACAGATATATACACATTAGTGTTCTTCATGCCTTTTCACTTGTGGAAACCTCTATATTAATCCCATCTAGTACACTTCCATCTTTAGAAGAAAAAAAGATATCAAGCTCTGCTTTTTCTGACAATTCACATTTAAAAAAATCAAGTATATCACTACTATAGATCTATAACGTGATCAAGACTTTAAGAGATAAAAAATCCCTAGTATTAACTACATATACTAAAACAGTATAGAGCACTTCATTAACATAACAAGAGCATCATCCATATCTTGTATTGCATAATTTCTACTTCAAGTGAGCCAACTGTCTTTAAAATCCTTGTGAGTATACTGCTGGCTTCTGCAGTCTGGAAGCAGGGGATAATCTAGTGCCAGCCACGTGTAGGCGCATAAGGTGGAGAATACATTTTAAAGGTTTACATTTGCATCTTTCAAAGGTTTAAATTTGCATCTTTCAAAGAGGTTTTAGATGCATTCTTTTTTTAGCCATGGAATTCATTCTGATATGACTACAATACAGCATTATATATTAGTGCAGTTCTTTTCATTTAAGACAAATGACTACTCTGTTCACAAATCAGCAGGCCTTTGACACGTTAGGCAGAATCTGAAGTGATGCATTTGATGCACTGGAGCTTCAACCAATGCTTTACCAATAGGAGACACAAAATTACGTGTTACTCATAAAACAAACCATGAATTATATATACAAGCCCTAATGAGCTACAGTAATTGTGCACTGAAGTCTAGGACTTGCAAAAGGATATTTTTAAAAATAAACTAATACTTAAGTTTCCTAAAGTGGGGCTTCCTGGCATCCTTGGAGGGTAAAGAAATACTGATGATTGGCTGTGATCACACACACACTAAATAATCCACTTTCAATGCACTTTCCAACTGGATTTTACTGTATGAATTGGCATAATCCAATTCAAAAGTGCACTGAAAGTAGGTTGAAAGTGGATTATTTAGTGTGTGTGATCGCAGCCTACAATTGGAAACATGTTCAGGTAAAGAATAGGGGCAATTTCATACATATTATAGTATTTTATAGCATTTAGATACAGATGTGCAACCATGAATTGGAAAGGCAATGCAGAACATTAAAAAATGAAAGGCAGAGGGTTGGAATTGACTCTGCCTTTTGTGTAAAGTATTAGTTTCTATAGCCTGGGAAGATCAGCAATGAATCTGATATGTAACATGAAGTGGGGAGAAAGGAGAACATCTGACATTCTGGCAGCCTCTGATTTTTTTTAATAATCAAAACCCACATTTCAAACATGGGATTAAATTAGTCCTGAAAAGTTCATGTAACATTTCTTACCCCAAACCACTTTAAAAAAAATACTGACCCCTAGACTGGATCATGTGAAGATCCAAGTATCCTCAACTTTTACTAGCTAAAAATGGAATTAGGGACACCCAGTACTTTTTATTGATAAAAAGTGAAATAGTTTGTCTTTTGTAGTGTGTCCGAAACAGCTTCTCAGAATCCTCCTTCTCTTCCTCTTCAGTGGTACACACTGAAGTAAATATTTTCCAAAACCTTCAATGGGAGCACCATCAGTGGCTTTGCCAAGCTGCCACAACATTCTTCGGGAAGGACTCTCTCTGCATGAGAAACTGAAGTAGTTTATTGCCATCCACTCTGGGGCAGACTCGCTTGCAACGTAAAAGCTGCTCCTGGAGTTCCTGATGCTGGTGGGTATGTAGTAAAACCATCAGGCTGAGATGTATAGTTTTCTAGAGCAGAAGCTGAGTGGGCCTTTAAGAAAACACACACACACACAAAACCAGAATGTTAACAAAAAACCCAGCACGCACGCACACACACGCAGTGCTGTTCTCCCTTAACACTCAAATATGACCAGAAATGTGAACCAGAAAAAATCTGTGTTTCCATTTCTAAAAGTTCATTTTTACATAAAATTAACCATAAATTGATACCACTGCCTATGCAACATTAGGTTAGCTTGATAGTCAAAGGTGATAATCCTTAGGATCTGTATTTAGATTTTTATACATCTTAATTGTATTTAGATGTTTTTCTCCCAATGAGGACCCCAAAGTGGAGTATAGTATTATTCTCCCTTCCTCCATTTTAACTTAACAGTTGTCCTATGAGGTAGGTTAGGTTGAGAGAGAGTTTATGACTGGGCCAAGGTCACACAGCAAGATTCAGCGCACAGTGAAAATTCAAACCTGGGTCTCCCACATTGTAGCCCAATGTTCTATGACTTGTGAGATAATACATATATGTTCTACTGATTTGTAAACTTGGAGGTGGTGGTATAAAACAAACAATCCAAATTTTAAAAATAAAGTTATGATCACCTTTGGTTTTGACTTGATGTGCATAGCCAAAGTGTATATGTCTCCTGTCGTACAGTGGCTAGAATACTGTAATCACAGATCTAATACGGAACTAACAAGTAATGTTACGGAGAGTGACAGTGAAATAGAGGAGCAAGAGAGCAGAGTTCTGTTGAAACAGATTAGTGGACAAGTCACGCCCACAGCGTATCTTCCACAATTCTTTAGCTGTGCTAAAATTAGCGTCAACAGTTTTCAATGCCTTTGAGTTGTTTTTTTTAAAGATGTGAACAATGTAAAAAAATTGTCTTTATTTAAAGCACAATTCCAATAAAAATATTAAACATTTGGTTTACCTTTCCCCAATCAAATATTTCAGTTCACGTGTCTGCCACTGGCACATATCATTAAAAAAGTTTTGTTTACCATTAAATATAAGTCAAAATAAACATGCTGAATCAATACATGCTCTACTACAGGAAATGGGAATTTCCTCCAGAATATTTTCCAATTCAAATTTTTCATTTTGTAATTATTTCAAAAAATATAAAAAGAAAACTGAGTGACACTTAAGTTTGCAGATTTCAAGTCGTACCTTCCCCCACACAGCTGCCTCTATATTGTGTCCATATGAAGTAGCTCAGGTCCTGCTTTTGTACTCCAGTCCAAATTTTCCAGAAAATTAACAAGTATGCATTTTACATGCACCTCCTTAGCTGTTTCTCAGAAGCAGAAGTTATGACTTGGGGCATACAGTTCTTGCAGTTTCTTTGTATTTAGGTACTAATTTCCCCAAATTCCCAACTCTCCCATGGCATCCATTATTTTAAAAAATGTTGTTTTTACCTGTAGCAATGCTGTCTGTGCGGCTGCACTGTGCTGCAGTTCCTGCAGGGAAGACTGTGTGGCACTCTGGGCAAGTCCAGGGATGCCAGGAAGAGAGAGGAGTCCTGGGAAAACTGTATTTCCAGGGGCCTGAAGCCCAGAAGTCAGGCTGAAATAGATACAGAATACATTCAACACTGTTGACCTAGCAACATTTTACATACAAAAGTTCTGAAGAATCTGAAAGGGACTGCATTTCAAGCTATGGCTGTACAGCTTAGAGGCACCGCACATTTATGTTTGTACTTAGCTCTGATCCATTAGAGGACTTCTTTAAAC